TTGTTCTCCCAAACAGAAAAGGCACTTAGTGTGTCTGTCGGAAAGTGGGAATTTATTATCGCAGACAATGGAATGCTTAAATGGGCCCAAAGGGGACATGAATAGGAGAAATAATTGAGGAGAAAAACCGATGATTGAAGGGGGGGGGTGCTGCGGCCGGAGGCCAAGCGATGGGTAAAGGAAAAAAAACTCTGATGATAATCTGATAGTTTAAAAGAAATGATTGATAACAGGAAGGAATCAAGAATAAGCTCTCTTTCTCTTTTACTCACAGAAACAGAATTATGAGGCTCTCAATGCAGCGGTTGAAAGAAACTGAAAGGGGACACTTGGTGCCAAGGTACTTATACGGGTGGGGAGGGGCATATTCTAATGTATTCATTGCTACTGCAGAAGCTCTAGAATTTTCCGATGAGGCTCCACACAGGCGCAAATCACACAGGGAGTGATTCAGAGAGGCCACAAAGCAGAACTCAGAAACTGCAAAGCAGGTGATATCACCAGGCGTAACTGCACAGCAACACCTTCTGACGTAACACAGAGAACTAGGAAGATGAGTGAAACACTCTCTGTTGATTCTCACAAGAGCTGGAGTTCAGGTGTTCAGTGTTTCCCAGCCCAACTTCCTCGGCGCGCACCCACTTGAGGCTGCACACTGGCTACCCTGCCCCACCTCCTCTGGGCACTGCCTCTGTGTGGGCACCCATCAGAGGAACAGGGCTGAGAAGCACTGAACACCTGTTTGTCCAAAGGATGAACCAGCATGAACCTCTGAACTGGCAGTTTGTGTCCATCTCTAATCCTGACACGCTCAACCCATATTAACTATATTACCAAACACTACAAAACATGTAACTTTTAAACATTCATGATTTCTGTTTGACATGTTTCCGTGTTTTACATCCAAGTGCTTTTTCACAAATGTGTGGATTGCCCTGCATTAAGCCTTAATAACTGTGTGCTGTACCTTGCTTCTCTTGACATAAGAGTCTTCTTCATAAACATCCCGTGAAAGACCAAAATCAGAGATCTTCATTTTACGTCCTTCCGCGACTAAGACATTTCTGGCAGCTAAATCACGATGTACAAGCTTTGGGAGGAAAAAAGAAATGAAAAAAAAAAAATAACGTAATTTTGTATACGGTCAAAAAGGCAGGGAAAACAAGGTAGAATGCCAACCTCCCTACCTTCATTTCAGCAAGGTACTGCATTCCACGAGATATCTGCCATGCGAACGAGATCAGGTCACCCATGGTTAAGGCTCTCTCATCTGGGTTATCCAAGTAGCTGGAATTCCTGTTCCCCTCACTTCCTACATAGCTGGTCCCAACTTTTCGGCTTTCTCTCAGAAAACTCCGCAAAGAACCATATTTGGCATATTCCACTATTAAATACAAAGGCCCTAAGGCAAAAAGAGACAACATTCAGAAAAAAAGGTCCCCCTGCTTTCTTGGATCATACCACAAAATAGTACAACTACCAGAGTTGTACATCCCTCACTCTTTTTAAAAGCATGTCCCCACGTTTTAATTCACCTTTTTTAAAAACTCAGAAATAAGGTTTACAGGGATCATGTCTTTCTTCCTCTTAAGCAGGTGTAGGACTGTAGCCCACATAACAGAAATTAAACAAAATTGAACACAGTGGTGCCTCGCATGTCGACGTTAATTCGTTCCGCGAAATTCACTGTAAAACGAAAACGTCATGCGATTTTAAAAAGCCCATAGAAACGCATTAAAACCCGATTAATGCGTTCCTAGGGGCTTCAAACTCACTGTCCAGCAAAGATCCTCCATGGCGCGGCCATTTTCGCTGCCCGTGCAGCGAGGAATCTGTCCCAGAAAACAGCGGGCGGACATTTTTTTACCCAGCGGCCATTTTGAAACCACCGATCAGCTGTGCGAAAATCATTGCTGTGTGATGATCGGTTACCAAAACAGGGGACCGATCATTGCAAAGTGAAATTCCCCCATAGGGAACATTGTTTTGCGATCGCTTTTGCGATCGCAAAAACATCGACGTAAAGCGATTTCATCATCAAATGGAGTGCTCGTAATACGAGGCACCACTGTACAGTGAAAGTCACTGCATATTAGAAGAGCTACAGTTATGTGCACACATCATGTGGGCTAAGCTCCCTTGAAATAAATGGCAATTGCTGCTGAGTAGACATATGCAAGATTATACTTTAAGTCTCCTCCTGCTAGGAGGGATAAGAACCTTATGCAGCACAAAATCCAATACCACGAGCCTTGGAAATACTATCCCACCTCCTTTGGACTGTAGAGACACTTGCTAATTCCCACACAGCTCTTAAAATGTCATAGCTGTTGCATAGGCTCAGGAAAATCTGGTTCTCTGATGCTGTTGAACTGTAACTTCTATTGTCCTAGACAATTTTGCCTGTTAGGGTAATGATGGGAGTTAGTACCCAGCAACATTTAGAGAACCATATGTTTCTCATCATTGTTGTAAAGGTGAAATAATTATTTTTAATGGAAGAGAATGTCCTCAGAATGTTGCATCGAACACCAGATCCTGCATTGAAACTGGATAAACAGCCTGCTTAGCAAGTTCTGCCCGAGTATAGGTTTTGAAAGAATATGCATTATGTACGCTCGAAGGCTTTCACGGCGGGGATCCGATGGTTGCTGTAGGTTTCTTGGGCTGTCTGGCCGTGTTCTTGAGGTTTTTCTTCCTAANGACTCCTGTCCTCTGAAGATGCCGGCCACAGAGACTGGCGAAATATTAGGAAGAAAAACCTCAAGAACACGGCCAGACAGCCCGAAAAACCTACAACAACCACCAATATGCCTTATGTTTCTTATTAATTTTTATGGTTTTAAAACATAATTCTATTTCATTTTTAAGATTTCCATCCCTGGAAGCCTTTCTTTCTTTCAACCTCTCTTGAAACCAAAAAACAGAACTTAGAGTGAATTTGCATGTTCAGAAGTTCTTTTATTTTCTTTGCACTATCGATACAGGCAAGCAGATGAAGAAATGGGGTGTGTATACTTTTGGGAACATATCATCTTGGCATAATGGCTAGGGCAGGGGTAGGACCAGGGGCACATTTCTTCCAAGGTAGGTTTTTTTTAAAAAAAATCTATTATTTAGGATGTTCATATAAAGTGTAATGCAGATGTCCATGAACATGATTTCCTGCAGCCTCTGACAATTGTCAGAGTTCTGTTCTGTTTCCTGCACAGTAACTACAGTGTTTTGTTAAAGCTCTCAGTTATAGGCTTTCACAAAAAGTTTTTTGACATTTCTAGTCCATTAAAAAGGTTTGCTTCATAACCACCTCCACACATTGTCTCTTGAGTGATACAGTGTTGAGTATAATAGCTGGAGAGTTCAAAAATTTCATACCCGCAGGATCAACATATTTAAAACATATTGGTAAGCATCCAATTCCATATTTATGTACATCTGGAGCTTCAACTATAGGAACTGCCACGAGATCTTATGAAATGCCTGTTGCAAGGGACCAGGCACATAATCTTCATCTCACTGAGTGCTGTGGCAGTTTCTGGCGTTGGAATTACACAAACACAAAGACTGGACATTGGGCACAGTGTCCAATAAGTGTCTACATCAGAAATAGCACATTTTCCTTACATTTCTTCCTACCAGTTGTGCCTTTATTCACAAAACTGGGCAAAGAAAAGTTTTTAAAACATTCTTTATAACTGATTTAGCACATTGGCAATAATCTACATACAGTCAAATAATCCCTCTCTACTTCCTCTGCCCTCTGCTGAGCGAGGAAGTGATTAATTTGCCAATATCCTGAAGTGCTCACTTATTAAGCCACTTTGTGATGTCGGTAAATTGAAAGTGGAAGGCTTGCTTTGTATTAGTTCCAGTGATCACATGTGCTGGAACCAATCCAAACAAGAGCAATCCTACTTGCATCATGTAAATGTAGAAACCCCTTGACAGGGGCCAGAAAGGTATGAGTAGGAACATTCAGAGGGTGGGCTGACGTACTCTAGCAAACGCGGTCTTTAAGAGCACACCAATCTGTTCCTGCAGTGCTCCAAATAGCACGGTAAACCTGTTATTTGGAGCACTGCAGGAAGACATAGAGGCTGACAGCCCATGAAGTCAGCCTCTATGTCTCCACTGAAAACGCTTCAAATGAAACCACACCCAATGAACCAGAGGTTCTCAGTGGAGAATGACCAGAAGATCCAAACAGAACTAACTGCAAACCTGCCCACTTAATGAACAGGCACTGCGAGCAGATTCTTCTATTGATGAAGACTTACTGCTTTTAAGAGCCTTTATCTACAGAGTCACTGTGACGTACAAGCCCTTCTTTCACAGCAGATATGACTGCCCCATCTCTTACTCCTAAATAACATTATCTATGTGTAACGAAGTGCCTGGCACTTACCGCCCTGGCTGCAAGCTCCATAAAGTTTGATGACATGTTGATGGTTGACCTGTTTCAAAAGAGTGAACTCAGAATGCAGATCTCTGAGCTCACTTTGGGAAGCATTTTCTTTGGAACAGAAAAAAAAGGGAAAAAAAACACAGTTTGTTATTTAAAACCAGAACCTTATATTAAAACATCAATGCACTATATTCAGATCTCTAAGTACTTAACTGCTGCAAATTAGGCCAGTTGTTTAGGCAAGCGAAACAACTCTACGATGCACTATATTCAGATCTCTAAGTACTTACCTGCTGCATATTAGACCAAATATGTAAGGCAAGCGAAACAACTCTACATTTTCGTTAGACAAAAATAATGCAGTATCTCCACCACTTTTCATACTCAATTCCTCTCTGGTGCCCAGTGTCACAGATACAAAACATTTCCTGTTTGTGCTGCCAAGACAGCTAAGACCATAAAGTAGGTCCATGCTACCTGTGACCCACAAAAATACAGGCACACATGCAGTCCACCTGCTGAAATTTCCCTTCCAGTACAACTCTTAGAGAAGCATGAGTCTTTATCATTAGGTAATCCTAATGAGACTTTCCTGTCCTAATTTAGCAACATTTTACACAATTAACATAAAACTAGATCCTGTGAAATCAGTAATGAGGTCAGTGGTCCTTGATAACTGAAGGAGTGACGAGTTCCCGAGTGATACAAAAGTAGACCAACAAAAGAAGAAGAAACAACAGCAGAAGCACAAGAGACCAGAGAAGAAACTATTTACACCAGGTCCAGACTCCAGAGGAAAGTGACATATCTAGCCAATGCTTCTGGGAAGCCTCTATCTGTGTATAACTGTGTATTTCAAAGTGCTTAGAAAACAAACTTTTTGTTCAGAGAAAGCATAACTGATACTATGAGTGAGATTAGAGAGTGTTGGATTCCTATCCATATGTATACCCTTCCTTTTGAAGGGAAATTAAGGCTACTCCACCCCAAGCAAAGGGAGATGAAGGCATGAAGTAAAACGTTATTTATGGTGCTCATGTACTCTCAAAGTCAAAGTTGGTTATGCATTGCTTGGTCTTGAAAAGATGAAAAATGCCTTTAGCTTTATTTATATGAGAAGATGGAACAAAATTAAAGAGATCTAGGTGGCAAGCAAATACTATGAAAATACCTTTTGGGACATATTCCTGAATTTTTCTTTAGCAAAAGTTAGGAAAGAATCCTAAAACATGTGTCCCACTGGATTTCTCAACAGAGAAGCGTTATCAGTTGGGTTGCTATAACAACCCCTCATGTTTCAACTCCAGCATTCTATTGCAAAGGAAGCTGTGTAGGTGGAGCAAAGGAGTGGGTGCCACTATCAAACTGCTGCTCTCCTAGCTCCAAAGTGGGTGTATTCTTTGATGGTTTTGTGAAACTTGCTCAAAAGAAAAGCAGAAATGATCTGGCAAAATGGAACTTAACGGAGCTACTTGAGAAATTCAAATACCTCCTAAGGCAGGGGTCAGGGAACTTTTTTACCTTTTAACCCATCCACCCCCCCAAATTTATATATGCCGACATTACCCCCTTGATATGAAAGGAAGGAAATCATATATTATTTGAATTCAAAATCTTATTGAATCTATTCAAAATTACAATGGCTGCCAGGCCTTGTACCGAATTAGCAGGCTATATCATCAGTATCAATGGCTGCCAGGCTATGTACCGAACTAGCCTGATGCACCAAATTTAATACAGATGTGCACTATTTTTGCTGGAACACATTGCACTCCGGCCATGGTGTGGTATAGGGAGTAGTAAGGTGTCCAACGTACTTAGCAAGGTGCATTAAATTTTTGCTAGCTCGCAGAGGATTTCATCATCATCAATGGCTGCCAGAGTGGTGCTAGCAATGACGTGCTCGCTAGAGACAGCCAATGCAGATTTGGGGGGGGGGTTCCTACCACTTTAATCATTCTGTGTGTGGTGTGCAAAAAGGAATAAACCAGACTAAAGGTCATGACACCCACCCTGGTGCCACAGCCCAACATCAGAGGACCAGTGCACTGCTATTTATCATCATCATCATCATCATCATCAATGGCTACCAGGCTGTGTGTGGTATAAAATTTATACTACACACAGCCTGGCAGCCATTGATGATTATATAATCTGTTTGTTCCTTGACAGGACACTGGCAGAAAGCTGAAATGCCGAAAGACTTGCAGACCAGCACGGCAGTCTGCAAGTCAGGAGAAGATGGACTTGTTCCCAGCTCTGCCTCCATCCAGAAGGCAAGCGTGCATACAGAAGGATCTGATGCTGAGTCAGGATAAGATGATTTTGCTCCGGGCTCCGCCTCCATGAGCAAGGCAAGCATGCATACACAAGGACCTGGCACTGCACTGCACTGTGCCAGGTCCTTGTAGGTATAACACACAGCATCGTCGGAAATAAAATGCCTGGGGGTAATGAGGACGGTCGTGCTGCCACAACTGTCCTCATTACCCCCAGGATTTTCATTTTTACCATATTTGGGGTAATTTACCCGTTTCCTGACCACTGTCTGAAGGCAACAGGAAGAGAATCCTCTTAGGAATCCTCTGATGAAGTTTCTTCACCAAGGGTACAGGGCTAAGATTCATTTCTTCCTAAGCATAACAGAGAGGGTACACTGTGGGGTGTGGCACCTCCTCTACTCAGATCACAGTCTGCCACTGTCTATGACAGGAGTGTATAATAACAGTGCAGCCCTATAATCTAGAGGCAGAGCCTAAAAAAGCAAACCTCTGTACTCCAATAGTACACAGTTAAGATTCATTTTCCCCTAAGAATATCACAGCCCATATTTTCATACCTGTGGTTAATCAAGACTGATTTGAAGGACACCTATGTAGCACTGCTTCGAAACACAGAAATATAACCTGTGGCTCAGCAAAGGTCTACCCACTGGAGCACTCCTGATTAGCTGGGTTGTGTGTGTGTGTGATCCTTGGCTCCAAAAGTGTTCCCTCTCCTAACTAGTTTCTTGCCACTAATGGTGTGTGTTCCTAACAGCCATGTCCATATACATACATACATACATACATACATACATACATACATACATACATACATACATACATACATACATACATACATACATGTGTGTGTATGTATATATAGAATGTGTGTGTGTGTGTGTGTGTGTGTGTGTGTGTGTGTGTGTGTGTGTGTCATATGTACCTCGGTGTGTCCCACTACCACCACCACCCCAGCCAACATGGACATGGCTGTTAGGAACAAATAATTTGCATACCCTGAAAATTTGGATATGGTCTCAAGACCTTCACTTCTAATCTTTGTTGTTGTTGTTATTGTTTAGTTGTTATTGTTGTTGTTTAGTTGTTAAGTCATGTCCGACTGTCCAACCATCTTGTCCTCTGTCATCCCCTTCTCCTCTTGTCTTCACACTTTCCCAACATCAGGGTATTTTCTAGGGAGATTTCTCTTCTCATCAGATGGCCTAAGTATTGGAGCCTCAGCTTCAGGATCTCTCCTTCCAGTGAGCACTCAGGGCTGATTTCCTTCAAAATAGATAGGTTTGTTCTCTTTGCAGTCCAAGGGATTCTCAAGAGTCTCCTCCAGCAGGCGGTCAGCCTTCTTTATGGTCAAGCTCTCACTTCCATACATCACTACTGGAAAAACCATAGCTTTGTCTATCCGGACCTTTGTCAGCAAGGTGATGTCTCTGCTTTTAAAGATGCTGTAGAGGTTTGTCATCACCTTCCTCTCAAGAAGTAGGTGTCTTTTAATTTCGTGGCTGCTT